ATAAGTAGGTTAATTAATAATAATAAGTTTAATTAAGGACCGACTATCAACTATCCTTTACACCCCTCCCTACTATTATAGAATAAAATAAAGGTTAATTATATAATAGCTAACGCTCCTACAATGAGTAGCCCCTTAGTTAAGAGATTAGTAATAAACTAACTGTTGTTTAAAATGATATATAATGCAATTAAATATTAAATATTAATTACGAAGCGTCTATCCCTTAATAAGTTCCCCCTAATTAATAAAATTCCTCTATAGTTAATAGACTAGTAATTTAAAATGTTTAAAAGTAATTCCCATATTATTAAACCAAACCCCTAAATTTAATAATACTAGCAGAATTATTATTTTTGTATTTATAACCCAACGTTTAATTACTCGATTAATTACTTAGGAGTAATATAAAAGAAGATAGTCAACTATTTAACATTGTTAAAACGCCCTCTTAAATTATATTATTCATATTTAAGGGCCGAAGTTTTCTTAATTCGATAAATAAATTATTTTCTTTACTAAATATTAAATTATTTAACGGCGATAACGACCGCTAGTATACTGATAAATTAGATAGTAAAAATATTTATAATAATAATTATTAGTTTTTTAAAAGTATATCGCTACGCAATAAGAATATTAAAAATATTAATATAAATATAAATAATATACGGAAAGAGTATAATATAATTGTAACCGAACTACTAATGTATTTAAATTGGTACAAGTTGAATTTAATACTGTAGCCCTATATTAATTTATTTTCTATATTGGCCGAATTAGATATTTCTATACCTAATGTACTATTTAATATAATAACGAACCTTATTAATTAAATTTCTTAATACTTAATATATATTGGATTTTAATAAACTTCTCTACTAATATAAAATCTATTATAGTAAATATAAATTAGGGCTACAATTATTATTTCCTCTAATTCTAGTTTAAGTACTAATTATACTACGCCGATACTACTCTAAAATAATAATATAATAATAACGGATATTAGAAGGAACAACCCGATCGAATTACTAATTATAATTATACTTAACCCGAGTGTACTAATGGTAGTATATTAATTAATTATAGTTAATAATAAATAATTATGAGTAAGCCGAATAGTATTTTTAAAGCCCCTTAGGAAAGTACCTAAACGATAAAATATATAAACTCTTTCCCTATTACTGTAAAATAAATAAAATACTTAATCGATAATATTTTTAAGGCTATTAAAGTAGTAGAAGGGGAAAGTACTAATTAAAATTAAATTATCGTTCGATGTTCTTAAATCTATTAAAACCCCGCTCCTAAATATTAATTTCCCCTATCCCTATACCCTTTAATATAAATTGTAAGGCTTACCCGGTATTATACTCGCTCTATTTCCAAAAACCCCTAAAACCTAACTATATTTATCGGTACTAACCTCCTTTTCTCCCGACATTACCAGACTACCCCTTAGAGATTAATATATAATCGAACTACTTTCTAATTCCTAATTTTTTAAATAGTAATTACAAAAGGTATTATAAAGCTTACTTTGTATACCCTGTAAATTCTAAACAATTATTTAACAATAGCGTTAATTAATTAAAATTAGTAATATAAGTTTTATGTAGGTAGATACTGGTAGTAATACTGCTATTGGAAATAATAACCGCAATTAAAATATAAGTAATAATAATAATATTAATCCAACTAACTTATTAAATATAATTACCAATAAAAAATTCCACTATATTACCTATATAATTAAAGTTATAGGCAAGATTAATAATAATAAATTCGAGACTATAGCCGATTATTTTGCCGCTTCCCTTTAGTCTTTTACCCTTAGTAATTAGAAGATTTTAATAGTCGGCTACTTTTAACCCGACGTTAAAAAGAAAAACGGTAATATAAGAAGCGATTATTTTTAATTAAAAGATAAAACGTATATTATATTGCCGTACCTTTTTATTAAGAATATAAGAGATAATATTGTTAATAACGATTTTAAAGCTAATAATTTCCGTAAAAATTTCTATTAATTCTTTATAAGTAGGGCGAAAATATAGTATATAAATTAGTTCGATATAAAGACCTATATAGTAATAAAATAGAGTTTTAATAATTAATATATCGCGATTCTTCTATATTGGAAGATGCTCCGCGCCTAAGTATTAATTAAATTTAATACGTTAGAATATTCCTACAATAATTATCGCTCTAGTAAATTACTTTATAATATTATAATAAAAGTTATCTAATATTCTAAAGAATTAGGTAAAAAAGATAGAAGTATATATATAGTATATATTTATAATTATTTATACCCTAGTTTAAAAGATTTGGTTATTAAATTAATTAATAATATAACCTTTAATAAATAGTTAATATATATTAATTATCGTACGGAAATCTATTATCTTAAAATTATCGATGATTTAGGAGGTTATAGTAGTAGTTTTAATAAGTGAATATTGAGGGCTGAATTTAACAGCAAGCTCCCTAATATTCAAGCTATTAAAGCCGCCAATTTCGTAAAGTAGGAGGAAGATATTGAAGAAAATTTAAATATAACGCTATAGGGAAGAGACAATAACCGGGGCGGATATTGTAATTTACCTTCTTTCTCTATTAATTGCGGAAATTAATCGTTTAGCGAATATTGTAGTAAGTTACTATTATATTACAAATTATCGTTCGGTAAATATAAATGTAGTTTATTATTATATTAAAGAAATTTATATAAATATTGTAATTTATTAGGAAAGGAAGGTTTATTTTACAAATATAATAGTTTATTATCCAATTAGCGTAGTAATTTATTTAATTAATATAATAGTTTACCTAAATAAAACTAATATTAATAAAATTATTTATATTAATGTATTTATTATTAATACGTTAAATTTGGCCTACTCCGTAATAGCGTTTATATTATTAAAAATAAATGTAAGACCTATATAGGAATAGATAAACCTGATTTTAAAGGAGAATATTTTAAAGACTAAGGTTTTAAAGAGGTTAATTAAAATTATAATTTAAGAGAGAAGGAAATATTTCTAGCTATTAAACCGTCGTCGGAGAATATATTAATAAGTATCCTTACTACTACCAACTCTAAATCTAATATTAATTTCGGTTCTACCTATTTATTACTATACAATAATATAAGTTACTAAATATATAGAAAATATAACGAAGTTTTTTCTATATATAGTGAAATATTTATTTATATTTATATTAATTTATATATTAATCCTAAATTATTAGGCTCGGGACTTTTACCTAACTAACCTAAACCTTATTTATTATTTTAACAACTTTAAAACAACCAAAGTCGTAGCTCCGTAGGCTTTATAATAAATAGTATTAAATACAACGAGGTAGCTAAAGCCTTTAGAGTAGTAGAATAGACTGATTAAGGTCCTTCGAAACTATTAAGTAACCTTATATATTATAACTATTTATAAATAAATATTCGTTTGGAATTAAATAGAAAGAAATATAGCGTTTATATAAATACTAGTTACTCGAATATTTTAATCGATAAATAATAGATTAATAAGAGGCTAAATATAAAATTTAATAATTCCGAAATAAAATTATTCGATATTATTAGTAGCTATATTATCCTTATAAGAAAAGTGATATTTAACTTTTTTATTGAAGGAACAATTAATAATTAATTAGCCCGTTAAACCTTTATATTGATTATATAGGTAATTAAAGGCCTAGTAGTAAGATTATTATTAGGAATATAATAGATATAACCGAATTAAATTATTATTAATTCCGCGGCGAATATTATACGAATTCCAACGTACTGTAATATAATTATATTAATTAATTACTTAATTAAATTAATCCGTCGGAGGGTATTAATAATATATAATATAGTCGTACTATTATATTTTAAATGGTTTATCCTTATCGATTTCGTATATATTATTAATAAATTACTAGTAGGAGTCCTTAAAGACTATATTTTCGAAGCTAAATATCCCTACGTTCGAAACTACCTTCTTAATACTAAAATACCTAAGTTTATAAACATTGTTAATATTACTAATAAACTAATATACATTTATCGCTCCTAATAAATAAATATAATTAAAAATCTTGATAGTAATAACTACCGACCTATTTCTTTTACATAAATTTAAATTCTATTAACCGTAATAAAAATTTAATTTAGTAAAGAATTCGTATTTATAGTAGAGCTCGAAAGTATTATATTAATTCTTAATACTACTATTATACTTAATAAAGTAATTATTAAAATGATTAATAATATTTATAATCGCAAGTTAACCGAGGAAGACACGTTGAAACTCCTATGTGAATTATTGAAATAAAGCCCGTCCTTCGGTATAAATAAAAATAAAAATATTTTAGAAATCGAGTTTATTTATAGTATTAAAATCTACAACCGCGATTCTACGTACGTGTAACGTATTAAAACGCTATTAGATAAATATAATATATATAACGGTCGTAGTATTATTAAAATAGATGAAGAAAATATACTCCGTATTAACTTCGTTAAAAATTAATATAAATAGAAAATTTTATTTAAATTATATTAATTAAGAGTTTAAAATTATTAATTCCTTAATAAAATATTAAATAAAATATACTAGGATAGTAAGTTTAAGTAGATATAAAAAGCGATATTATTTGGTTATTCCTATTTTATTATTTAGTATATTATTAATAATATTCGTAAAGGTTATATCGTAATTGACTTGCGATTATTAAATTGCGTGATTATTGGTAATTCTTATCCGCTCCCAACTTAAGATATAATTATTATTAGGATGAGAGGCAAAAGATTTGCGAACTACTTCAATAGTTCGGTATTTTTCTATTAAATTAGCATTTATTTATTTTACCGAAATAGGATAATTTTAATTAATTTAAAAGGGTTCGAGCGATCGAATATTATATTAATAGGTTATAAAAATTTGCTAATTTATATATAATAGTTTGTTAACCGTAAGCTTTATCCTTACTGTGTATTCGCAGCGGGGTATATTAATAATATTATTATATTTAATAATATAGTTAAGGACCATTTTAAACATTTAGAAATTATCTTTAAACTCTTTAAAAATATTAACCTTAATATTACCCCCAAAAAGTTATTTATTACTTATCCGTTTATTCGGTTATTAAATTACTGTATGGATAGTTTAAGTATAGCTACTATAACCGATTGTATTGTAGCTATTCGAAATATTTAATAACCTACTAATTTGGTATTATTAGAGTACTATATTGGTTTAACCAACTTCTTAAAAAGATTTATCCCTTAGTTCGCCTAAAAAATCGGTCCGCTAGAAGAAAGGAAGGCTAAATTTATCGAAGCTAATAAGAAGGATAGTAAAATACTAGAAAAGAAATCCCTAGTAGTACGAAAAATGTTTATTAATATATTAAGCTTCGTACTAACTAAATTCGAAAAGGAAATATTTATTATTTTATAAAATTAATTAATTAAAGAGATAATAATCTTCTATTACTACCCTAATCGAATTACTTTTTTTAAGATCGACGCTTCGAAGAGGTAGGGTTTTAGTATTATAATTTTCTATATCGATAGTAATTAATAGGATAGTAAATTGGTTCCTATTTATAAAATTTAGCCTATCCTTTTCTATAGTAAACGATTGTCCGTTATAGAAAAGAACTATTGGCCAATTAAATTCGAAACCGTATATTCAGTATAGGCCTGCCGATCCTTTTAGTAATTTGTATAATTATATATTAAGTTAATCGTTGTATTGATAGATTATTACGCTTTTATTAGTATAATTAAATAAATTAATTTAAATACTATTAATTTTACGAAATTAAATTCGCAATTAATTATTACCTCTATATATTTATCCCAATTCAATCTTAATATATATTATATTCTTAATAAAGTTAATATTATACTAAACGCCTTATCTAGGCTTCCTAATATAGAAGCTGAATTATACCTAGAGACTAATAAATTCAATAATATTTAGAAAAATACGGTATATACTATTTATATCTATATAAATAATAAAATAAAAGTAAAATTTATCGATAGCTATACTAAAGATATATATTATATTATTATTGTACGAAAATTTAAAGAATACGATAAACGTAATATAAAATTCAGCTTTAATATTAATAAACGATTCCCCTTTCGCTTTAAGGAAGGTTTGCTATACTATTTTCCTTGAGTAAGTAAAGTAAAATTATATGTACCTAACAATACTTTACAAGAAGTACTTGCCCTCGTATATAATAAACGCTATTATTTTAGCCTAGTAAAGATAATATAAAAATTAGAAGGACTCTATTTTCTTCGTATAACAAAAACCTTAAAATAGTACGTAGAATATTACCTACAATGCCTTAAATCTAAAACCGATTATAAAACTACCCCTAGATTAATAAAGCCTATTCGACTTTATCCCGTACCCTTCTATATTATTTATATAGATTTTATCCTAGGGTTCCTAAAGTAAATTAATTAATTAATAATCTAAGGCGGAGACTATTATAATATATTAATAATTATTATTTATAATTTTAATAAAAAGACTCTATTAATTCCCGGCCGAATAGATTATACCACCGGCTAGTAGGCCGAACGGTTAATTACTATACTCCTATTTTGCGATTAGGGTTTATTTCGAGTATTTATTTTAAATTGGGATACGAAATTCCTATCCGCAATATAGAAGGCAATCTTCCGGAAATTGAATATAATATTAATATATACTACGGTATAAAATTTAAAATCGAATAGCTAAATTAAATAACGAAATTAAAAGGTTGAATTAGTAATTCAATATTATACAATAGAAAACCCCGAGATCCTATAATTAAATATATTCCCCGCGTTATAATACAATCTTAATAATAGTCTTTCAATACTATTGGGCCGTACACCTAACGAAATCGTAATAGAATTCAAACCAAATATAGCGTTTAATCTATTTAAGCCAATAGATTTCGAGGAAGGTAATTTTAACGCCGTTAGACGCCTATATTATTGTAAGGTAATTGAAATTATTAATTAGGCCGTAATAAAGTATAAATTAATATTTAATTAGGGTTATTAATTATTTTAATTTATTAAAGGTAATAAAGTTATATTGTAATTATATAAAGGCTATATCCAACTAGGAACCAAATTACGTAAATACACCGACTAGTAAATTTGCCCGTTTTTAATTAAATATAAAATCGACAATCTCGTATACAAATTCGAATTGCCCCGCGTATAGAAAATTCATTTAATTATTTTAGTTAACTATTTAAAAGAATACCCTTAGGGTAAAAATCTATTCTATTACAAAGAGTAACTAGATAACCGCATTATTATTAAAAGTAATACTAATAATTAGCAATTATACGAAATTGAAAAAATAATAAATCGAAAGATCTTATAGTATAGCCGTAAGCTACTTATCGAGTATTAGGTTAAATATAAAAGTTATAGTATAGAATATAATAAATAGTATTTATAAGGTAGTTTATATATTAACGGATTAATAAAGAATGTTTAAAATTTTATTTATAATTACAAACAACTTTATCCCATCGACCCTAAATTATTTAAATGTATAAATAAATTACTGGTAGATGAAATTATAGTGATTAAAGTGGATTGTATCCCTAAATTAAATATTATTATTATTATTTTAATAAAATATAAATAAAGTGAAACGTTGGAAATTTCTAATATAGCGCTACTTATTACCCTATCCGAGATACTATTAATAATAAAATTTATTAGAAAGTATATTTCGAATATAAAAACCTTCTTATCCCTAATTTAATTACCGTTAAAACTATTACCTATTATATTATTATTTTTTAAATAATTATTATTTATTATACTATTATTCCTTAAATAACTATTATCGCTACTACCAATTCCCACACTATTACTTTACAAATAAGAAATACTATTATTATACAAACCTTAAATTAATTCATAAGAATCTCGATACCCCCTCACCTTACTATTACTATTAATATTAATACTATCCCTAAATAAATTTTAAATTAATTTATAAGGATTTCGATACTTACTTACTTTACTACTAATATAAATGTAATACGCTATTTATCGAATATAATCGTTAAAAATAGATATTAATAATAATTAGTATAGAGCGATAATTATATATTTAATTAATATATAAAAGTAGGCGGGATAATAGTAAATCTAGCTACTATTAAAGAAATAAACCGGTAAACCCTAAGCCGAATGTGTTAATAACGACCTATTATTTAAAATTAAATAAGTCGTCTGTAATTATTTATTTATAGAAGAGATAGTTATAATAATAAATATATTAATAGATTACAGTATTTGTAAATGGATATTTAATAATAACTACTATAGTTGCAATTGTAACGCCCTTAAAATTATTACGATTATTAAAGGTATTAATTTGTAAAAGGGGATCGATAACGCTATTATTGAAAGCGGTATTAAGCCGTTGAATTATATTATTATTAAAGTAGCCTATTTTATAATATTTATTTTGAATTACAATATAATAGAGTGGCTTACTAATTTAGAAGTTGCTAACCTTATATTAATAATTAAAGCTAATTAATACTGTACTTATACTAATAACGAATCTATAATCCTAGTATATTAGGATAATAATATAGCGCCCCTAGTACGGTGTAAGATAAGAGAAATATTCGATTTTATTATTAATAAAGTAGTCTAGGCCTTTAATGCTAATAAATTAATAGATATACTAATTATTATCCGCGAATAGTTAAAGTTGAAAGTATATGGTATTATAGTTATTTATTTAAAAAATATTAAATTAATCGATATATAATATATAGTTATTATTAAAGTGTATTATAGTTAGTAATTCGCTTACCTTAAAAGCCCGGCCGAATTAACGAATTTAATTACTAATTAATCTAAATTAATCGCCCCCGCCCCGAATATTATAGAACCGAATGTTATTATATTAAATATTAGAAAACCTAAGGTCCTTAGAATATTTAATTCTATTGAATAGATTATAGCCGGCGCTATTCTACTAATTGTTATTATTCAATTAATTACTGTTAATAATAATACTACTAACCCGGTGGTAATTAAATGCCTAACCGATATAATCGATAATAATTTGGCTAAAAGATAGAAATTTCGGGACGTTATCTAGGCCGAATTGGACGAATTCCGATAAGTTTGCCGTAAACTTCGTAAAAAATAAAATAAATAATATAAGGACCTAAAAAGTTAATACGACGATTATTGTAAATTAAATAACGAATATATTAATTTATATAATAATTATAAGGGCCTCCAATATAAATATAACTTTATAGTTAAGGAGTATAAATAGGTAATAGATAGAATAAGAGATATAATATACTATTTTAAAGAGGTATTTAAAATTATTAAAAATTTATTTGAGGATAGGGCCGTAAACGCGGCTAATTACTAAAATAATGTTAGTACAATTATTAATCGAGGATTTAGAACCGGTATAATAATTAATGTAGTATTTAAGATGCTACGTATAATTTAGATCGCGTAGGATAAATTGGAATTTAATAACGCTATCAAAATTATCGGTTTACTTATTGGTTTTAAATACCCGTACCTTATAGAAATACAGGTTGGGTAACAATACACATATATAAAGTCCGGACTTTAAATAGACTTCGAAAAATAAATCGTTGAACCCGCAGCGCCTATTGCTAAACCGGTTACCGCCCTAATGCCTATTACCCTAACGCTTATCGCCCTAGTACTTATTATTAATCTAACCGCTACCCCGGAATTTATTAAGATTTAGTTTAGTAATAATTAGAGTATAGCGACGGATAACAATTAAAAATATTGTAGTAACCTATCCTTACTATATTATTCCTAAAGGATAATAACGCTATTATATTTTATAATAATATTATTTCTTTTCTTTTCTTTTTCCTTTTTCTTTTATTTTTAGTTAGGATAATTCGTTTAATATCGATTATCCGGTTTAAAACTATTTCCTTCTTTATTATCCTTATTATTAATTAATTGTATTAGCAATAGTCTTTCTATAAAGGATGGCTAGTATTCAGCACGACGCCGCGATATTCGAGTATTATAGAACGAAACCTTTAGACTATTTACTTATAAATATTACCCGAAATAAGGGAAGTTTCTATCGTTTTCTTTCGCCCTATAATTATAAGATTATACTACCGGTTACTATGACTATTACTA